GCTTTGCATTTTCGTCGTTTGACTTCCCACTGATGCGATGCCCGTCTTGCGAAGCGACTGCAACCACCACATCAGCGATGCATGTTCCCGCCCCGTTGGCCTGACATGGGACTCCAAGGGCCGTCTGTGGTTCAGCTCCGACAGCACAGGCGAGATATTTGTTCTGTATCGGAATGGAACTTCGAGCGCTGGAGGCGGCAGCACTGGTGCGCCTTTGCTCGTGGCAGACAAGGCGGCGGCCTGGGCGGTGGTTTTGGCGGCTATTGTGGCCGGGTTGTTTCTGGCATAGATGAGACATGGACCTGATGAATATAAAACGGTGATGATGTTATGAAAATTACATATACTTTCAAGAAAACAACGGACATATGGCGACTAGATGGAATCGACACTTTGAGATGTTAGCCTTTGTTACTCGGGGGGTTTGTCGGCAACTTTTGCCTGGTACCAAATAGACACTGTATAGAAATATTTGCAGCGCTAGACGCTTTGATTTCTTTGGGCACATTCGCTGCTCTCGGTGTCCACTCATCAGTGTCAAGTAAACAGTACCGAGCGACGCACACAGAAACAAACAGCTTTGGGACAGGGAATAAGGTGAGGTGGTGATCATGCGCAGCGTATTACTGGGCTCTTCATCATTTCTACCTTGAAACGCCTTGCAAAATCCGCCTCAAAGTAAAATTCCATCTGGCTGCCCTCCTTCATCACCACCGTACAACCCGAGCCCATCCTGGGCCAATATTTTATCCGTTACTCCTCAATCGACTTGACACACTCCCACTCGCCCCGCAGGTTCTCCTTCCATAATGAGACCTTGTTGTCCGCTCCACTAACTGCCAGGACATTTCCGCTCAGAGACCAGCTGACTCGCCAGACGGGTGCATCAAAGTTCAGGACCTTGGAGTCCCATTGACCGTTACTAGAGGGGTCTGACGTCCAAATACGCACTGTCTTGTCTTGGGAAGCCGAAGCAATGTACGACTTTTGCAGGACGGTAGGTGACCAGGCAACATCCCGGACCCAATCGCTGTGGCCAGTCAGAGGCTCACCCTCTTGCTTGTATGATTGCGAGGCGGGGTCGAATGACCAAATCTTGAGGACATTGTCAGAGCCACCTGTGACGAATCGTCGGTTGCCAACGGAGCCGGGTCCAGGAGCACTGCTGACAATGCTACCGGGACTAGTGGCGGGGGCCCATGAAACTGAGTTGACTCCCAGGCCGTGGGCAGGGAACGTAGCGTGGTCGACGGCGGTGTCCTTGAATTCGAGAACGCTCACATTGCCGTCGGACGAAGCGGTGGCAAGGAGGCAACCGGCTTCATGGGGAGACCAGGAGACCACGTTGACGGAAGCCTTATGTAGGGGGAAGTCGTAGATTCTTTGCCACTGGTTGTTTTGGCCTTGCTCCTTCCAGATGAATACCTTGCCATCGTATCCCGCCGATGCGAGGATGTTACCGTATTTGGGGTGCGCCCAAGACACGCACCAGACAGCACCTTCGTGGCTAAAATTGACACAGATATGTTAGCCCATGTTCCTCGCGCAGCAGGCAGTCGCAGCTCGTCCGTTGAGGGCCAATCGTACCCTTTCAAAGTCTCGACCAACCGCTGTGACTCGCCGTCGATTTCGAAAATCTTGATGGTGCGGTCACTCGAGCAAGTGGCAAGCTTGCGACCGTAATAGTCGAGGACGGCATCGTGCTATCAAAGAACAGTTAATTCCTTGGTTGACAGCCAGGACCAAGTTTGCGCATGCGGCGCGTTGACAAGCAATAGGCGGTCAGAGCGCTGCTCGAACTTGGGGAATTGTATTGAGAAGGGAAAAAACCGTACAATCATGTCATCATGACCAGAGTTGGCAATGACTTGCGCCGCCTGTACCAGTTGATGTTAGTATAGCTAGTCAGAATCAAACTAGGGCAGCTGAGCATCCATGTTTGAAGCTTGTAGCATGCGCGGAAGTGGCGTAGGATACCATTCTAATATATTAGAGCGTCAATTTGTCGACGCCGACGAGCAATGGAGAGAAAGGAAAGATGCGTAGGCAACGTAAAATAGGAAAGGCAAGTGTCGTGATGCGGAAAGGACACGGTCTTGTATCAACAGTCCAGCAGCTCGTGGTGGATGAACAGTTGCCTGTGGGCCTCTCCTATCTGGCTGTGTCTGCGGCACCAGGCCAACTGTCCGCAACCCACTTGTAGACCAAGCGCTTCACGTGATTAAGTACCCCGCTAGAGGCCTACGAAGTTCTCTGGAGGAGCTTCGAATTCATACTTGGCCCAGCAGTAGCTTATAATATCGAGACACCAATTGTAATGACAGGAAGCCTGTTTTCCACAAGTTGAAAAATTCGAGAAAAATAAAAAGTAACAAACAAAAAAATTAGTCCAATTATCATCAAGGAGTGTACTGCTCTTTAAGAACCCGCTGACATCCACATGATATTCTACACTCTCAAGTTGGGGTAGCCGAACAACTTTTGAACTCAAAGCGAGGGAAATGCAGAAATTAAATCAAAGTTCAACAGCTGCGTGCCATTCAGTTTATCATAATGAGCAAGCATCAAAAACACTTGAAGTTACCCGATCCAGACATGACCGCCGGCAAAAGACGATGCAGCGGGAAAATCTGGGGCAACAAAAGCCGGGGGCCACTTGAACTGGTTCCTCAGCTTCGAACCTCGGAAGCTACTTACAGTGGGTAGACAAAAGTCACGATAATTAGCGATTTTACACCTAAACTTACTACTTTTATTAATGAATTATTACTTAACCTTTCAATAAAAATTTATAAAAATCAAAATTATATTAAATTCTTATAATAATTATAATAATATATAATTTTTATAATTATAAATAGAGTACTTCTCTTATAATTAAAGGTTAAATATACAAGAAAATTAAAAAGTATAAGTTTTGGTGTAAAAATGGGTCATTATCGAGACTTTTGTCCAGTGACCGTACTCGACCCAAAGAGGCAGCAACTGCCCGCGATCACAGGCACGGGCAAGTCGCCGACGCCGACGCCGCAGGTCAAATACTCCCATGTTTCCGTGGGTGGCGCCCCTCGGCCACGGGTTGGTGTCGTGCATTTCAAATAACACACGATTCATCCTTTCTGTACGGAGTATTGCAATAGTGTCCACCGGCTCTGCTTTGCCATACGACGGTCTACACTGCAGCAGTAACTAACTGTATCATTTCCCTCGTCGTCTTTTACAGTCACCATCGCCCTCGCCACTCCATCGGCCCGCTCCACCGTTACACCGAGGCATCTCGTCACTGTCCAGCTCTCGCCTCTGCTCGTCTACGTTGCGATCGCATTCTTCCTACCAGGATACATCGAGTGCTCTCAAGTCGCAAACGCATACTTCCCACCATGGCGGACGCTTCATGTAGTGGCCCGTCGCCATTCAAGCGCCTCGTAGACCACCAATCCCGAGATGTCAGCCATCACCAGGATCGCCTAGTCGACCGTTCCGCCGGCCAGCCTCACGGCGTATGTTTCGCCTCTTATGTTTCCTTCTATCATGGGCCAGGTACTAATATCTATGTCTTCAGTCCTTCCGATCTGTTCGTCACGAATACCCAGGACAAGACAGCTTCGGCGCCTTCATGGACGCAACACCATCCCCCATCCCCGGCATGTCTCATGACCCAGCGAATCGCCTAGCCGTCCACGCCGCTGCTCTTCAACAACCTGTCGCGCCGATGCATCACCCGGAGCTATCCCAACAAGCTAGAGCATCCCCTGTACCTGACGTGAGCAACTGGGCAGCCGACTTTAATCGCTTCTCCAGCCAACAGATGCGCTCTCCTGCGACCGCCGCTCCTTCACTACCCATGCAAATGAATCAACAACCAATGCAAATGAATTTCCAGTCCGCCTTTGGCCAAGCCTTTGGAGGTCCCATGTACGGTCCCGGCGCAGCAGGTTTCATGGGACCCCAAGCGCCCGTCGAAGCTGATTTCGACAAAGAAATGTCCCAATGGATGTCCAACCACGGCGGTGGGAACATGTCCGAAGTCGACGCCGTAATGGAGCAAATGGCCCGCGAGCTTGAACTCAATGAAGCGACTCTCCCTGCCCAGGCAGAATCTACGACTACCCAAGAAATCCGACAAGTAGAGCCAAGTTCACGCTACACAGATCTCGAAACACCTGAGATTGGCAACCTATTCCCCCAGGAGCGAGAGGCAGACCACCTGCCCGCGGCCGAAGTAGAGCAAGTAATCCATGACGAGGCCGCAGCCAAAGGTAAATCTGCCGTCTCGGAAGCAGCAGAGCGCCTTCTCGAATCAGTGCAGCATGAAAACGGCGAAAAGTGGCAAAACTCGGTATTTTTATCTCTCATGCGGGACTTCCGAGATGGCCGGAAGGACATTGTCGACAATGAGATCCGCGCAATGCAGGATGAAGAGCAGCCGTCGGACCATCAGCAGCCAACGACATGACTGACTTTGGGCCAGTCTAAAACACACCGCAAAACAAGCATATATCAGTCAGCCTTAGGTGTGGATGCCGCTCCAATCGAGATGACCTTCATCCATCCCAATACACTGCAGGCCATGCGTCACGTCAAGCCACTCATGTGTTGTGCTCGGCATCTGGCCGAGACGGCGTTTTATTGAAGGCCTATTTTTCTTCTTTTTTTCTTGCCTCCCTTCTCGGACCCCGAGTCAGCCTGGCCCGAGGCACTGTTTGTCCATCTGCCCAAGAGTCCGAGCAGGAAAAGTCTCTATAATATACTTGCATGCTACATAGGGGCCCAACAATAACACACATAGACCAGCATCATCATAATTTGTGAAAAGTGCCAGCAGGGACAGATCAAGTCGTGAGTACCTAGGTAGCCGGGGATCTGAAATTCGAGACTCTACAGTGTATACAGATAGACGTATACTCCAGTATCACGAATGAAAGAAATCAAAGGATTGTATTCATTGTTCTTGTCTCATTTACTGTGCTTCCTACAAAAGTCGCCTCTTAATAATACCCTCATTGTCGCTTCCTTTGTCCCCTGCCATAATTGGCCACAGCGCTCTCGTATCGTCCAGTTCCATCAAGCATTTCAACAACATGGATAGATCCGCCCACACCCCATCTAGATACAAGTAGAAAATAGTTGAAAGAATTTGATCCTCCTTTGGCAGCAAAAAGAAAGCAACTCGCGAAAAGGTGAAAAACAGAAACATGGTGATACAGTTTTGTGAGTCCGAACCGATAGTAATGCTGGCGCCGTCAATATGAACGAGGAGGAACCGCCGGCAGCCGGGGAATGAGGTCGACAAGACTCCAAGTCGGAGGTTCGGGTAGAATCGTAGCCGGCAATTTCCTACCTGACGCGTGACATGAAGACGTGCGGATGATTTGAGAAATCCATGGTAAAATAGGATCCGGTAGAGTAGTATCGTACCTCGTAGCAACTAATCGCAATAAGCGTAGCAAAAAGTCCAGTCCCCAACGCAAAATACAAACGCCCTTAATGCATCCACCAAAGCCATCTAGAGACCCAGTATGTACTCCTATAAGTTCTTGCCAAATACCGACTTGACCAAGTCATCGCTAATTAAGTGCAAATAAATTCCCATCACACATCCCCTCTACTGACTATACAGACCATGAGAATGAAATGCAGCTACAGGGGGTAAGGTCCGCATCTCTACCCTCTAGGGAAGATATATCCCTAGGAATTAGGTCACTGAAATGCTGCGTGATAGTCCCCTTAGCAGATTTGCCCACTTCTTCGACTATGAAGGCTACAGGCATTCCATCCTGAAGAACAGGTTCTTTATCCTCACCATCATGGGTGATTCTGTACTGCGTACACGTTGCTGGGGCGTAGTCGCCGTTGTTGTATGAGCGTCTCTCCACAAATTTGACTAGCTTGGGATATGGTTCCTTGAATTTGGGCGATGGTGGCTCATCCGGTGTTTGTGTTGGTACGGCAGGAGAGAACGGGCTGGGCATCGAAGGGCTCGGACTGGGCGTTGAGGTAGTTTTCGGTGGTATGAATGTCTGGTTCGGGTAAACGAAGACTTGAAGTGTAACGTTTGGCCAAGTGCAAATCCATGGCTTGTCGCCTTCCGTGGCGGCAAGTCCCTTCCTCGAGAAGCGAGAGTTATCCAGGACAGGGAATGGACCTTTTATGTCATTCCAACGGCGCTGAGGACCCGACTGACTTGGAAGTATAAGCTGATCTTCCCGGACCATGACCGTCTTGTTGCATTTCACTTCAAGATACCAAGCCGGACCTCGGTTGACTTCATCTGTGTCCTTTACCAGTCGCATAGGCTCGAATTCAGGAACGTTCGGGGGCTGGGTTCCGTAGATGAATTTAGAGGCCTTGGGATCAAATGGCCTGAGTTTCATGGCATAGTTGGAGACATCCGTGGCACCAGCAAGTTCGGTAACGTTCATCGAGTACCAGCGAAAAGGCATATCACAATTCCAAGCGGGATTCTGCTCCAAATCCTTTATACAAGCCTTTGGTACGTTATATTTGTCCATTGGCGGAAGGGAAAAACAACCTGTTGCCAGGGGAGGCAAACCCTGTGGCAGATGCGGCAGGGGTACAACATTATCCGTGTTCGGTTGATTCTTACCGGATTGTCTGGCATGAAGCGAGTTAATACTGTAGACACATGCTGAGAGCCAAAATATGGTTTGTTGACTTACCCTTTACCCTTCGGAGAGGTATTGTGTCTGGTCACAATAGTCCCAACTACAGTACCCATCACCACTCCCATGATAACAATTCCAGCGAGTAATAGACATATTGTCCAGTATGGCACAACGCCCCACAGCTTCTTTTTCGCCCTCCGTTGCCACTTGCTCGGGCTTCGCTTTTCTGCAAAATCCCGAGCTGCACCATTAATTTCGTGATAGCTCTCCAGAGAAGTTCTACTGCGGATCGAAGATCCGGCTCCTCGAGACATACCAGCCAGATCTTCTGTGGAGGAGAACTCGGGGTTCCGAGTCGCAAGACCAATTCCTCCAGCACCTGGAATAGGCTGAACCGGGGTTGAAGTTGTTGATCCAATTATTCTAGCACCAGCCCCATCGGTAGCATTGGCAGCTGCTACATTGTTCTCGCAATCAGCTGATGGTTTATGTTGGAGGGGTTCTTCAGGATAGCGTGAATATGGTGGAAGCTCTTCCATGTGACCGAGCGGCCCGATTAAATCACCCGCATCCTCACCATCAGGCCCAATCTGCCTGCGGTAGCCGTTTCCCATTCCATTGAAACCTACGGGGATGCGCTGCTGGGTTGCGTCCTCGAGAGTAGTAGTGCTTTGGGTGTACAGAGCGTATGGGTGAGCAGGACCCCGGGTTCCATCGAGTGTCTCTGAAGGGCCGGTAGAGGAGGTAGCATTACTGTACGTCCTCTGGGGATACATTTGATAGGGATGAGACGGCGGCGTGGAGCCCTGATATAGAAGATCGCCTTGCACGAGGCTGCTCGACGAAGATGATTGTCCTACACGAGCGGACTCCAGCCCGTCATTTCGAAGGGTCAAGGAATCGTGAAAGCGTGGGGGTTTGGACGTGCTTGACGGTCGATTGAAATCGGTGAAACCCTTCATTGGACTGGGCGCGACGGGTGGAGGTGACCGAGGAAGATTGGGCAAATGAATTCGATTTGGCAGCGGTAATGGAGACGAGTTCAGACTCGGTACATTTGGTGGGTTGTTGGCTGCCGGGCGGAACCCGTCAGACACAGCGTTCGTTGCCAAATCGTACTCATCATCGCCGAGCGCATTTTCTGCCGACACCCGTCTTGATCTCCTTGTTGATGTCCTCCTCTCCGACGTTGAGTGCCTATCAGCAGAAGGCATTATTGCAATGGGAATTGGACGTTGGGTTTGCGTCGTCTCGCAATACAGTCGGACAAACGGCGCTCAGTCTTTGGCATCGGCCGGTGACGTGAGTCACGAGAGGACCGCAAGAGGCAGCGCCGCTTCGTGCCCGTCTAAGCTGTCACCAGGAAGGGCCGTCGACACTCGACGCCGACGCCGTGCTGATCAAAGATGAAGAACGATTCGATTCCGTCGTGGTCGGTCGGGGTCGAGGAGTCGACTCAATCCAGTCAAGACGTTAGTCGTGTATAGAATTAATGAGTCCACAAATACATCAAGCAGTCAAGCTGGCGATAGTGCCCGATGGAATCGACAAGTCTTCTATGTGGAAGACACCGCGGATGTGTTTTTGTTTCGTTGTGAGGACTCTTGGTGCGTGGTGATGGCAGTGACAAACGTTCTCTGAGCATCACTGAGATGGGACGGGACTGGGGGGGAGGCGGAGCAGATTGTTCGCCGGCTGGCGCCACGGCGGTGCGCTTGGCTGAATGCACCAGTTCTGCCACTACCACTACCACTGCCACCGTCAGGTCAGAGTCAGCGGCGAACAAAACACCAATCCAGAACTGGCGACGGGGGACTGAGGTGGGTGTTGGTTTCGGGAACCTGGCAAGAAGTGGGCAGAGCCCGTGTTGGAGATGGAGTAGGACCGTGAGAGGCATGGCGAGCAAGGGGGGGCGGAGAAAGGGGGTACGAAGAGACGATACCATTGGCTGGCGCTCATGCACAGCTGGGGCCAGAAGGGGGCCTCCGAAAGTCTGCTTGCTCGGGATTCGATTTCCAGTCGCCAGTCAGCCAGTCACTTGCGCACCGTCATGCCGCCGTCCACTTATTTCTCTATGATCCAAGATCCGAGTGCTGGGCTGGCCTGACGGGGCTTGCCAGATGCCCGTCGGAACCTTGCCAGGGTTTGGCCGCTGGACAAGGAGACGAAAAGGTGAGGAAGGAGGAGCTCTGGAATGGAGGGCAGAAGTCCTTTGCAAAGCACTTGACCCGAATTGCTCAAGCACAACACGGCACGGCAAGGATTGGACGCACCACTTTTCTCAACCACTAGATCCATCTTCTCCTTTGTCGACTCGAGAGTGGTGGAACGGGATATGTTCGGATTCTGAGCGCTAAACGGGACCGTTTTCCTGTGCGGGCGTTTCACTAGCGCCGATGTGAGACGGTGTCGTATTATACATACAGCACAGAGAAGGTTACGGAGTTGGGGAGTACGGAGTGTGTAGGCCCCAAAATACGTTATGTCTGTGGCTGCAAACAAGAAGAAAAGAAGGCGACACACTGGCTAACTGGTTACAGAGATGGGCAGACAAACACACAAACAGCTCGTTGTGGTTTTACGGAGTACTCCTTGGATATTGCCATGTTCGCGAACGAAAACCTCACAGGATGTGCCATTGTGCGTGACAAACGCACCGGATGGCGTTGCTGGTCGGTCATCCTTTTTCGAGAAGGTGATGACAATAGAACAGACGAGAGAAGTCGATGGCGACAGGAAATCATGAACCACTCTATGAGCTAATTTGCATGATCCCATGCTGGTCGAGGCCTCGCTCCAACCTGACTGCATTGGCTGAAACCAGTTCAAGTTGAGATGTGACGGTCCGGCCTGGTCTCAGCATGGGAGTCGTAAGGCCCAGCTTACAGACTGCTTCTCTGTGCCCCGTACGGAGTATTCCAGACTATTTACGGAGGTATTGCACAACGACCTCGGGTCGTATCAACCAAGAAAGCGGCACTTCGATCGAGTTCCGATCCCCTCTCTCGGCCATGGTCTCTGTCGTGATGCAACCTTCTCCGCTTTCAGCAGAGTCCCTTATCGTACTGCAATAACGGGTCTAAAAGACTCAACGGGCAACTGAAGCGATGCCAGCTTCTCTAGCAAGCTCCACATCCCAAGGGAAGGCAATGAGCGAAGCAGCATCCGACCGAGGACCCCTTACACAAACAAACGGATGCTTAATTTTGAACCCAAAGAGCCAGACCCCTGGCTAACGACTCCATGAAAACAAATGTATAGCACTCATATCATTGGCTAATCGCAGCGCGAGGCGTGCAAATCTCGAGGGCCTGTGCTGTAATCCGTCCTGCCGTTCAGATGCTTGTCGGCCCAAACCAAACGTCCTCCTTGGTTGGCTTAAGATCAACTTTCTTCTGTGGCTGCGGCACCAATGCAACTAGGGCGAAATACTCTAGAATCACGCAGTATCATATCGCCTATTACTTTGTAGTACTCCGTAGTACTCTCGTAATGGTGGCGCGGCACGGGGCAACTGGACAAATCAACCCATTTCCCCGGATCTCAGCGATCTGGTTCCTTGAAATGGGTCGCACAATGAATTCTGGTTCTTCCTAGCAATAATAGCAATGTTCTCTCTCACGATGATCCCTGTCCTTACTTCCCCAGTCATGGGCAAGTTATGCTTCAAATGTCTCCAGATTCTGTCCCCTGGCTCCACGACTGTGGCATCCGCTCGCCAAGACAAAATACGCAACAGATATTGTCAATTACTCAACCACGTCATTCTGCCCTTGGCCATTTCCCATCTGCCAAAAGGTCGCCAAGCCGAGGCACGAGGTTGGGTGGTGACGAACAAGGACTAGGACTGATCGCTGATGTGGCCGGCATGTCCGGCATTTGTTTGCCTAGTGTGCGGAGCAGTCCATATCGTAGTCCCTGACTCCCTTGAGGGTTCCCCTGAGGTGGTAATGCCTGTGAATGCACATGTTTCGGCATTGCAGTTTTCGTCCATGACCACAAGAATCGCCTTCCTTCCAGTTTGCACACGACCTGGCGGTCGGGCCTTGGATCGAACAAGGTGTCGGTACGAGAATGCCTAGAGCCTACAATAACAAAGTACTACAAAACAAAACCACTTGGTGGGAAAAGTGCCACGTGTTGAGGGAGGATTCTCCCAAATGCTTGTCGGCTTCGCTCGCCTCTCTCTTGGGCGCGAGTGGGTTCGCCAACTCGAGGAAATTAATCAAGCCAGCAGCCTTGATGAAGAGGATGTCTTTATCCGCTATTCATTGAGCATCCGCAGAATGCTTCCCAGTCAGTCATGCCCGCTTCAACGAACCTCTCGTGACAATGAAACATGGAGCTAAGATGTATGTCCACCGTTGAACTGGAGACGACGACACAACAGCGTTTCAGGTCAACGGCTAAATGAACACACGCGCGGCTATGGCATGGCTCTAAATTTATCCATACGCGTATCCTAGTAATCCCTGGTGATGAACAACGGTGACCGTACTGCTACTTTAACATAGCCTGAGATCCTCCTTTCGTTTGGTCTTGGCTCTTGGCGATGCTGCCGTAATACCCGAGTTAAGGGGTTGCCAGATGAGTGACGACTATATAATACGGCCATAGTGCCTGGATACTCTTGGACGGAGGGAGAAACGCTCGTCTGTGCTGGTAGCAACATGTCGACTTTTTTGGGCATGGCACATCTTCAAGACATCAATTGATAATATCTAACTGTTCAGCTCGCTATTAAAAATACCTACAAACTGCAAGAGTCACCATGGGGACACAACGGAAAAGAAACACATTTACAGTTAATGTATTATTATTCTTGGGTATCAGCTTTTGTCTTGCGACGATCCAGAGCTCAAAGAAATAGGTCACGGCTCAAAGGGGTGAATGGCCATACCCGTATTAGACTTTGCTCCGCTCGTTCGCCCGGTTATTCCCATCCCTGACATCAATCGATTGAAGATGCCCTACGGATCTGTATTCCAGACTGTCCAAATAAGCGAAAGACAGCCATTGGCCGTCTCTGCCCGACGGTGCAAATTCCGTCGCTTCGACCCGACAAATGTGGGTATATGAATGACATGTCCACGATCCAAGGTCCTTGGACGTTTATTAATGGCCGCTCGTTTATGGTTCGACACGAATGAATAACGGCGACATGATACAATGACACCAGGTGCTACTCCGGCCAATCCAAGGAGACTGTGTGCCGTGGTGACACCAAAGATTTGGCCGTCCACGCCCAAGGCTCACGATCACCCGAGCACTGGACCCCAAACGGCGCAACTCTCTGGTGCCAAGCTATCATTTGCGACAATTGGTTTTATGTCTACAGTTTGACCTTCACACAAGCCGTGTCACTCATAGGCAGACGTGTCAATTCAAATGTGGATAGTTAAGGCGCATTTGTCGGTCCTTGTGCTTCGTCGGTGTCGGGTAGCTACTAATATGAGAGCAAATGCTGTTGTAGGTTTGCCAAGTTCCCATGCCACATGTTTCTGGGTTCAAATTACATGAACCGCTTCTCCTTCGATACGACGTGCTGGCCGATATTTTTCTCGTACATTTCTTCAACATTTTGTGCACATTTGCTACCTTGAAAGCGAAACATCCTCTCAAATACCTGACCTCCATCATCGCCATCATCACCATCATCACAAAGCCATTCGGTCACCATGGTATCAGCATCATCCACCGAATCTGTCTCCTCGGGGCACGCAAGGCGAACTGTGTACCCGGCCGGCCGAATGAAGACCACGGACTATATGTACTCGATCTGGCCGATCCCCCGGAATCCCAGCTGGATTATGCGATTCATGTTCTACATCACGGGTGCTCCTATGGCGGCCACGCATATGGTGGGGAAATTCCCACGGTCTCGCATCGACGAGACTTACTATGTATACGATCCTCAGCAGATGATGTATACCGAACAAGGCGCATATGTGTACTGGGCCACGACCCGAGGTACCTACGACCTCTTTCGCTATTGGGGTGTCGCGAATACCTACTATACGAAGGAGGCGGCGGATGCCGAGCTGGCGAGTGTTGTCGAAGAAGCTGCTGGTGCAAGATCTCCTGGGAAAGAGCCTACATCGAACGAACAAGAGGCATAGAGACCTTGCACGCTTACTTATGCTGGGACGCGAGCTGCATTTCGTTGATGAAGTTTGGTGTGATGAAGCATTTACATTGTGGAATGAATAACACTGCGAGAGGTAGGGGCGGGCAAGGAATACTTGATAGGATGCATTTTGAGACAATATAGCAGATTGACTTGGTAGTGAGCCGTGCGTTGAATCAAGCCACTTGCGGACTGAGCAACGACAGGAATTCAGACGGCATCAGACGTCGCCTTGGCGAGATGATGCCATTCTGTTGACTTCATCCCCGATACTTGGGTCTCACAGAGTTCAGGACTCTTCATTATATGAATGTCAATCCTCAGCGAGCCGCGGAAACCTCCCGGATACGAGCTCGACCAGGCAGTTTTCGCAGACAGATTGTTTATCGACAGCGGCCATACGATCAGGTTGTGACTTCATCGGTCACTTGCCCGCCAGGACAGTATCCTCGGATTCACGTCTCCATCAACATTGCCCGAATCAGCCCAATTGGCGCCAGCACCCAACAACAAGCACGTTGGTCATGGGTAAACCAAGCTTGCATTGGCAGCCCAAGTCCTGATCTAGGGCTGAGGCTGAGCCTAAGGCTGAGCGTGATCTGCTCTTGTCCTTCGGTGGCGTTGCTTGGCCCCTAGCCATTCCCAGCTCATCGGTCCCCCGGCTTGTCCTACCTTGATATGCATTCGACATTGTTCACTTTCGCAATGTTATGATATGCCGGGATTTTCCAAGTGCAAGCACAACATGTGAAGGCTAGAGCGTTGGTTGCCTCTCGTCACGGAGCCCGTCCGTGCCTGTTAGCCTAGTGTATCGTATTCCTCACAAAACATCATGGAAGAAGAAAATCGTCGCCCTGGAAGCCTATCGACCAGCGAGAGTGAGCGTTGGGTCCAGTTTGGAGTTATTATCGAGGATGTGGCGCTACTCGCTAGACTAGGTTGAACTGATTGGACAGACCGATGACTGTATAACCGGACTGGTCTCTCCGGGATGAGGCAAACCAACGGATAGTGTTCAATTTAAGCTCGTAGTTTTTCGGACTGAGCCACTTGCATGCAAATTATATGTCCGATGTGCAAAGTTAGCTTCTGCAGTGGCTGTATCGCGAGATAGCCTTTGCCGGCGCGCAGCCATGAATCATAATTCCCAGGCTTCTTACGCATTATGATGCGTTGTCTTATAGTGTTACTTTCAGTATATCACGGTTCTCTGGGTTGGGTATGACTAGGCACACGGTGTTTGTATAAATAAATGGGTCCTACCTGATGCAGCGCTGGCACGAATTTGGATAGGTCAAAAAATAATAAATAATACCCGCACTGGTTTGTTCGCCCGGGATGCATTTGATGTTAGTATGTGGCTGGGGTAGACGCAGACGTCGAAGTGTAAACGATGACTCAGAGGTCTGTGCGACAATGTTGGGTGGTCCGGTCCGTCCGTCCAAGGCAGTGAACAGGTGAAGTTGTCAGTCCTGGCGTCGCCAATATCTTCGTCCAACATTTGGATTATTTTGACTCTTGAGGGCACTGGCCGATGGGTAGACCTCGTTCATCGCCACCGTCATCTCCACTATTAACGTCGTTCGTCACTTAGCGATTGACCGAAGTAGTCATCATACCGTTTTGCACACTGTTGATGCCAATGCAGCCCTGCTGCCTGCTGCTTCTAGGCTTGCCTGCCATCTAGAGTGCATGACCAGGGCTGCAAATTTTGTCGGTGAAAGATGCACATGTGCAGGCAGGCGGCCGCCAGCCGGCGTAGTCTAGGCTGCAGTGCTGATATCTGCACATGGCTATATATGAGGCTGCCGTGCAAGTCTCTGTCTGACCGTTGAAGGCTCCATGTCAACCTCTTCATTCCATTCTCTTGTCTTGCACCAGACTTGATCACTCAAGTACCTGGTCGCTCTTGCCCGCCGCATCAACACCTTGTACTTGCGGCGACGAAGATAGTACTTCAGTACCTACCTAGGTACCTAGTACTTACTCAAGATCAACGGCACGCGGGATATTCCAGCAAGTCGCGGTCTGGTTTTTGGCGTCATCTCCTTCCAACGCTGCGTGTTGTGGCGATAACTCTTTGGTTATTTATCACCATCAAAGTCATCGTCATCAAGAAACCCGGCCGTCTTCTACTATGGATTTCTTCCATCAAGTCAAGCAAGCTTTGGAAGCTGGCCAAGAGACTGAGCAGCCTACACCAACACCTAACGGAACCGACATACCAGGCGCACCTTCGCCCCAGTTCGCACTGCTGAATTATCTCTTCCCAGGGTACTCCATGCTCATGTCTGCTGCACATGCCTACGTCGGTGTTGACTTCAACTCATATGTCCCTGTCCTGCTCGGCGTCATCGCCGCCTCAGTGGCATGGAACTATGTCAAGGAAGAGTTCTGGGTATTCTTTGAAGACTACTTCATGTCATCAGTCACCATCCGCACCGATGACGAGATCTACAACATGGTCATGCTATGGCTCTCGAAACAGAAGTTCTCACACAATTCTCGCCACTTCGTAGCAAACACCAATATCAATTCTCGAAACCGGTTCATGTACAGCTACAATTCTTCCGATTCTGAAGACGAGGATGACGAGCCGGCAGACTCCCCCGTTAACACAACCACTGGCCTGTCCAACGATCTGAAGCAGGCTCTCCACTACACCCCATCCGTCGGCACGCACTTCTTTTGGTATAAACTGCGTCCTCTAACATTCGAGCGTGTCCAGAACCGAGATCAGATTGTCGGCATGACGGCGAGCGAGAAGGAAGAGCTGCGGATTTCTTGCTTGGGGAGAAACCCCAGGATTCTGAAGGAACTGCTACTGGAAGCGAGACAACTACATATGAAGAAGGACGATCGCAAAACCGTCATTTACCGCGCAAATCTTGCCGAGATCTACTGGCAGCGGTGCATGTCTCGCCTTAATCGACCCTTTTCTACAGTTATTCTGAACGAGGATGTGAAACAGGACCTGATTGATGATGCTGCTGATTATCTAAACCCCATTACCCGTCGGTGGTACGCGAATCGCGGCATTCCGTACCGAAGAGGATACTTGCTCCATGGCCCTCCTGGAACTGGCAAGAGCTCACTCAGTCTCGCGTTGGCAGGACACTTCCGTATGAAGATCTATATCGTCAGCCTGAGCTCTGCTGCGGCTACCGAGGAGAATCTCACCTCTCTTTTCCATGAACTACCTACTCAATGCGTCGTACTGCTTGAGGACATCGACAGTGCCGGCCTAACGCATACCCGCGACGACTCTGCCGCTCATCCAGCTGTTCCCGGACAAGTCCCTTCACAAGTCATTACCTCTGCCAACGGCACTAAAACGGCCACTCCACTCCCAGTTCCTCCTGGTCGTGTCAGCCTCTCAGGTCTACTTAATATCCTTGATGGCGTGGCTTCCCAGGAAGGTCGTATTCTCATCATGACAACCAACCATATAGAAAAGCTTGACAAGGCACTTATCCGTCCTGGTCGTATCGACATGATCATTCCTTTTGGCCTTGCAGACTCCCTTATGACGGCCTCCATCTTCCGTTCTATCTACGCACCGTACGAAAGCGAAATTCTTTCCAAAGCGAACGCCAAGGATTCAGACTCGGAAGCCAGGCGGGCCAGGCTTGCTAAGAAGCACGCGCAAATCAGCAAACGTGTGGACGAACAGGCCAGGCAGTTTGGAGAGAAGATCCCAGAGTTCGAGTTCAGTCCCGCAGAAGTCCAAGGACTGCTGTTAAAGTACAAGCACGACCCAGAAGGTGCGTTGGCTGCTTCGGACATGTGGGTTGAGCAAATGAGGAGGGATAAGAAAGAGAAGGCGAAAGAGGCTGAGAAGAAGAGACAGGAAGAACAGAAAAGAAGGCAAGAAGAGAAGAATGTAGAAGAGAATACAAAGGATGAGACGGGACAGGAAAACAAAGAGACTGACTCGTCCGAAGGGAACGCTGAGAAAGCACCTGAAAAGACCAAGCTCGATAAAGATAGCTTGACCCCCGGGAAGTCTGATGGCCCAAAGAAGAGTGCGTCGGATTCCGGGTATGAAACCACATAAAGTCCGTCAATGATTGTTTACATAGCGAGGCGTTTAGGAAATTCATAGAAAGAAGGAAAGCACAAAATTTATCGAGAGTACTAGCACGTATTTCATGTGATGGAACAATGTATATATGTGGGGACTTCACTGGCTGCTGGGTTATGTAGACATATCATAACAATGTGCCAATGGTAGCCAACTCTTCAAGTTGGACTACATGGCTATATCCTGTGTTATTCTAGCTCCCCATCTTCCAACAGACACTGCGGCTGCCTTACCAGCACGTCTAACACACGCCATTCCGACAGCCAGTCCACTTCCACCAGGGTAATTCATGTAAAAAAAACCTCCCATTATCTTCCCAACACAGTTCAATCCACGGCTGGGAGGGCCACTGGATCTGCGTAATATTTGAGTGATACCAGCGTCAATCTTGAAAACCACCAAAGGAGAAAGTGACGCCTACACTAACCTTATGTGGCAAAATTAGTCCTCTATCCAGCGGCAGTGCCCATTCAAAGTTTGAATTTTGAGCCTCGTCACGGTTCTAGACGATACCTCCGCGTAGCAACGACGGCGACACCTAGAATGCCAAGTGATCTGGCTGTTTGAGAACGGCGCGGCCAAAACTTGGCACCACGTAGTTGCACGTGTCCGCTCCTTTGTCTACAAAACGCTCCACATCCACACTGATGATCACGAGACCGAGAGGGTATCACGACTTGGTGAGCTCGCTTGAGGCCTCGCGCTCTCTGACGTCGGGGCCAGCATCTGCGCCCCTCGCCTCCGGAGTGACAGCTGGAGCAGTTCCCTGCCGCTGCGGCATCGCAGGTCTGGATACAGTATACCAGGCACTCTCAGGTGTTGAGAGGCGTGCCGCGGACCACGGCCATGTCCCATGCTGGGCGGAGGTACGCGGCCTCATGCGAGGATTGGCTTCAAGCCCGGCGGCGGCAACTATCAATTGGTGACGGCTTGCGTCCAAAGGAGCGGCCGGCCCGTCTCTGCCGACTGCGACACGGAGCCTTGCCGTGTCCGGGCTCCGCTTGACGGAGTGAAATGGTGCTGACCAGAATGTTTGCGTGCCAATTTGCATCGCTACCTCCGTCATGGAGGGCTCTATAGGCCCGAGTTTGAAGCATGAGTTGTCTTCCCACCCATGGCTCTAGGCACTTGTCGACACGGACGATGCTTTTTTCCTCCGACTTGCTTGGAAGACGGCGGCAGCGATGATATTGCCACTGCCGATCACTAGACGATCACATTTTGACGGAATTTGCTAATTACGTTTGACTTATTACGTTGTTGGTCGTTCCGGAGCCCAAATATTCCTTCATGGACGGGCGAGGAGATGGGGGTGGATGGCCGCAGAAAGGAGTATAGTGGTTTGTAGAGTAGAATTTCGTGTTCAATGTTTCGACTGCAATCCCAGTATGGCGTCATAATGGCCTGTTTCCAGGCCCCCGACGCGCTAAATCTGTCGAAGCCGCAATTAATACGCCCTGAGGAGGCTGAGCCATTGCAGCTTGAGCCCTTGAGACCCTGAAATTGACGTGAGGCTGTACGGAGGCAACCATGTTATGACAACTCTATTATTGTTCACGGCCACGAACGCGTAGTCTACGCGGCTTGATTTGTCCTACGAATATAAGTGAGTAGGGTGTCCTCATGGCGACCGTTTCCTGACAGCCTCGGATAGAGCGCCATCAATACTGCACACATGACACTGGATGTCGGCAGTTGCTGGCCATCTGCAAGGCGTTCCCAAACTCGCTGTCACATTGTAGTCATGACAATTGCAGGCACATGTGGCGTTATGCGCGGCTCAAATCCAGGTTGCACGGCACGGCTGGCACTCAGCTCAAACAAAGATACAATACACAGGCCATGGACGAATCACGGCGACTCGGTGAACAAATTGCCTCAGAACGAGGCAAACAGGAGGAAGATGCGAGAATCTAGTCAGGAATTGGGTTCAAGACTAGCATCTTGGCCCACAAACTAGTACCTAGGTGGTCATGATGACTCGCCTAGATCTTCCGTTATCAATCAGTAGATGATCAAGGATCCCTGAAAGGAGCGTGAATTTTATCCGGATGTCCCAAGAGTATCCACTGAATAGAGCTGAGATGGAGTCGATTGAGGGAATACTATCGAGAAATGCGTGTCTCGGCAAGACTTTCCCATTCATGATGTGGCCAACTCATGGCCACGTTCCTGGGAGGCAACGGAAAGCTCCTGCGTCCACACGCTCTTTTACTCTCCATCCGTTTCCCTTGGTGGTCGGTGGTCTGGGTCTGGAGGTGTTACTCTGGGTGTTCGTGCTTGGACCGTAGACACAAGAGCTGCGCCTCATGCACCCCAAAGTGTAGAAATCTTGGAAGAGGCTAAATGTCCGAGACAGATGCTCCCCAACAACAACAAGCAGTTTCAGGAGGCAAGCTGCCACCTTGTTTGCATGGTCCAAGCTCACTAGCTTGTACGATCTCTCCCAGCGATGCGTCTTGGTTACACCCAAGAGCTGTGTGGAGATTCGTCAAGCTGTCTCGTCGTCTTCGTACGGAGTATTCCGTTATTAAATGTTGGCAAATATCCACGGCAGTCTCTGTGACACGGGGAATATTACATTACAGACAAGCTCCACAGCCATAGGAAACGAAAAAGATGATGGCACAAAACCTGGCCTAGGCGAAAAAAACAAAAAACAAAAAACAAAAAAACAGGTGTGTTAATCGCATGTCACCTTGTACCAACTAGGTAGATATTGTCGACAGGTGGTGTGGGGGGCATAATACAATACTATCACACTTTAGAGGGCACCAATTGTAACGATAATGTACATATACAAGTTTATGTCTAGCTATTAAAGAGAGAATCGTATACGCTCTTTTTATAAGTGCGCTTATTATTAGGGTTATTTACTTATAATTAAGGGTTTACTCTTATTTAATTATACGTATATAATTTATACTTATAATAAGTAACTTATTTTAATATACCTCTTAATTAAGCCTATTATTAAGGCTATTATAAGCTTTTTTTTTCTTATTTAAATACTAATTAAGCGTTAAGGCTATAATTATAAGCTTAATTACGTATACCTTATCTTTTCTTAGCGTTTTAATTAGTGTAATCTTTTATTAATTAAGAGTTAACTTATTAACCTTTTATTTATTAAGGTAAGTTAAAT